TCTGACTGCATTGCTCTCTTGGCAGCGCAACTGGTGACTTTGAAAACGATGGAGTCATATCCCAAGAGCCACAAGCCCTGCGTATGCTGTCACCTTGCGATACACTTCCGTTTTGAACAGAGCTAACAGGCCGGTCCATAGCACCTGCAACGAAAAATACCTGCCAGAAGAGAAGGACATAAAGTGAAACCTTTAACTGACAAAGGCTTCACTTTGCAGGGCAAGGCGCTAGCATTAATAGTACAGAACAGGGAAAGGAGGCCATGATGCAGCCACAGACTATTTTGCAAAGTTTGCCTTCAGCTGCTGGCAGCCCTGAAATGGGTTACAGAAAGTTAAAACCATGTTATTGATCACTGCCTATTCTGCAGGGCTGGTTTGGTTTTGTTTGGTTTCTTTTTTTTTTAAATAAACCAGCATTGTTCTTTTGCAATTTTCACTTAAAACAATACTCCAGTATCTTCCAATATTGGGTCCAATCTGAAGCACCGCTAACGAGGGCAGTATGAAACGCCTAAACAGTTTCTTCGCGTATTTGTTAAGCAATTGCCTTTTGGAGCGCACCCCTTTTACAGGCACACAAAACAAAACTTACTACGAGTACACAACAGCATCACGCACATTTGGCATTTCACAGCAACGCTCTGAAGTTCCCCTTCAAAATTACTGGCAAGGAAGGAAGTTCTGCATAATTTTAGCACTCAGCATCTGAAAAAATTAGAACAGTCCCAACTGTTCTTTGAGATGTATAAAAGAACAGTTGAAGAACTTACAGTTGACTGGTGCTACCTAGGTTACCCGTCAATGGCATTGAAACTGGTATATTATTAAGAGAGGTGTATGATGGGAATTGGTTTATTGTGCTGATCCATAGTAACCAACTCCTGTTCGTCCATCATTTATCTCTCTCACCAGCGACATATGGGTTTGTCTATTCACACTCTCAGCATTCTCTCTGCTCCAACAAACAGTCAGCCTTTTCTGCTGGGATAAGGAGGTTTTTTAGTTACATCCATTATGTGCGTATCAACATTTATGGCAGGAAGATAATTGCCAAAGAGCTCAGGGGGATAAAAGCTCCCTCTTTATAACACAAACCCCCTTAAAAAAATCAATATTGATATAAAACAGTGCAACGCAAAGCCTTGGTGTGTCTCCTGCTTCCTTCAGTTCAAAATACTTTTTCTTTTTTTTAACGTTGCGAGTCAAACTGGAACATCAGGTAGAAAGCCTTCGTAGCGAGTTACGCTACTGCTCTTCCCACAGAAGGAAAAAATAGCAGCGTACAATATTAATTGTTCCTTAAAGAAGTGAGTGGCAAACGTGTCAAGATATAAAGAGGGCTCCTTGGAGAGGCGCCAGCATCATTTAAACTGCTTTAGCTATCTTTATTTGGAGACCATACCAATTACTAACGAATCGTAACTTACAGTCACCTTCGCCTAAATGCTGAAAAACGCTGACGCTCGGGAACAGGCGGCACGAGGGAACAATGAAAACCTGGGGATCCTGCCTTTGCCCCTATTTCAGGAGCTCAGACAACCTTCCACTACTCCATCCCCCAGTTTGGATAAATCCATTTGTCACAGCTTCTGCAAGATTTACTTCACTTTCCCATGGCTGCATACTCATAAAAGTTATTTTAAGGTGGCTTTCATCACAGTAGCAAGTAACATAGAACATTTATTGATTAAATGACTGGGAACCAGTGAGTTGCACTGTACTTAACTTACAGGACGACTCTGGGATTTTACTTACTGTTACCCTCCGTGCCCTTGTGTTACCTTCTGCCTTCCTAACTTTTGCCTCTCTCCTGAAGCCAGTTCCTAGGGTTGATCCTTGGCCTACAGCTGCGACCAGGCAGGTTAGCAACCACTTAAGTTGGGGCAAGAGCGTCAGCCTGACAACTTGGATGGTGAACTCTTGCAGTAAATCTTCCTGTATGTTCGGAAAGCATCTAGCACTGTAACTCCCCAATCCCACTTTAAATCTCTGAATGCTACCACGTCGTGACATTTGTAACAAGGTCAGTAAAAAACCAAACCCAAACATGCTGTATTTATAGAACACGTCTACCTGTGTAACAGGCAGCCACACAAAAGAATTTTTTAAAAATGTAACTGCCTTCTGTAACTACTAATCCCCCCCCAAACCCTTTAACAACTACCTTAGCTTAAAAAAATCCAAGAGACTTTGCAGGCTCAAACTACTTAGTTACAAGGGACTAAAAGTGAAGCCCTGTCAATATTTGCCTTTCTGATTCCCGAAGTATTAGTTAAAAGGATTAAAAATAGAGATGAAAAACCTCAATTTAAAAAAAAAACCTCTGAAAATAAAAAGCTAAATTAAATGTGAGCTGCTCAATTCTCAGCATTGAACAGCGTTTCGCTCGCTCCAGAGGAGCTGTTAGCTGCATGTTACCTGCCTCACAACATATACTATTTGTTTCTTATCCCCGAGCAACAGACTATTTCCTGGTTGAGTTTAAAAACTCAGTGACGTTCCAGTTTCAACCCACACATGTGTGTCACTGTCAACGTCAGTGGCAGGAAAACATTAGAAGTCACCCCTTGCTAATGCTTTCCTAACATGGAATTTCCTTGTAGCCCGCTCCCTCAGCCCACCTCCTCCCTGCGGCCGGGAGCATCTTTCCCAAATTGCTTTCCCTTTCCCCCTTACAAACGCAGGGCAGGGGGAGAGAACTGGCAATGCTCAGTGACCCGGTGCTGGTTCGGGCGCGGGCGGGGAACTCCCCCGAGCTGCTCCC